ATCACGGCCTTGCTGCATCCGCACATCCGGGGTGCTTCGTCCGTGACGCGCGCGTCAGAGTTGCGCGGTCAAACCTTTGCATCTCGACATGTCATGAACCAGTCTTGCAGCCGACTCAGTGTTCCGCAGTCGCACCGCACACAGTTCCGCATCATCTTAGAATCGCTCCGTCTCTGTTACTCCTTGCCAATGTGATGCGAACCCTTCGCCCCCCCCCTCCTCTCTCGAACCCACACCCATCCCCCTTCCCCGGTCCTCACTTCCGACCCGACCCTTGTCTCTGATTCCACATTCTCGCTCTCACCGCAGAGTGACTCGTTCGCTGACCGACACTCACGAGCTCATGTACGAGCACACGTGCGAATCGCGCGCCCACCAGCCAAATGTGGATACGTTTCCTTGTGAACCATCGAGTCGGGTTTGCGGTAGGACTACTACCACCCTACGCTGCACGCCTGTGCTCGCGCGATCTTTTCATCGATACTGGCGTATGCTCTACGCAACTTTTGTGGCGTGCTGATTACTTGAAAGCTAAGTGCGAATAAATCAGACCAACGAGGGACGTTTGCTGGCAAAAGATACATCACAAAGAGGTAGGAATGCTCGAAACGGGCGCGGGACAGCCATCCATTCGACGTCCGCGGCAAGCGCGGCAACATGCCGTTGAACTGTGTGCTCAAACGTGTGATGTGGGATGATGTGGGATGCGGGGGAGAACGCTCGGCTCCAAATAGACTTGGACCAAGGCTGACGCAAAAGAGAAGCTGGGTGACTACGCGGAGCAAACAAGAGCAGACGAACAACTGCTTTGCCCGCCGAGCGGTGCCGGAGCTGAGCAATTTTTGGGTTCAAGCTACTGTGGGGTCGGAGTCTCGGCAATCCGGCGACTGGCACACTCCTCGCGCCCTCGCGGGGCCTCAGCGCTGTCTGGGAAGAGATGCCTTGGCGCGTTTCAATTGATTTACAGGTAGATTCAGGCACGGACAAGTGAAACCAGTATATGCGCCGGCTGCTTTCCCGATGCGGCATTCTAAGCAGATGACGATGACGAGTCTTGCGGGGCCCAGCGGCTCAAAATGGAAAGGGAATTCATTGTAGATCGCAATCGAGGTTTCAGCGCGGGGTTTGTGTGTCATTGGCCCAGCTAGTCTCGGTATAGAACAAGCGCAAGCAATCCTGATCGAACGACTCAGGAGAGCCTGCGTCTTCAAAGATGCACGGGCGCCCAGTACGCTGCTGCTCCAGAGACATTAGGAGCGAGAGCGAAACCGCGCGCAACACCAGCTCTCGGACCTTCGATCGTCTTCTCAAGTAAGGACTGACTAACTCGCCCAGCTTCTAGTAGGGTATGAAATGGTTGCAAAATGATGCTCGTCAAGGCGTCCGGCCCTGCCTGGGCACCTCGCACCTTGTGGGAGTTCTGGAACGCGCGCGTCCGTAGAGACAGCGCACTCGAGAACTGCTCACGGGAAGAGCGGAATCACGACTTTTTCGCACGCGCAAGCGCGCCTATGCGATGGCTGCTTGGGTCGCCCTACACTCGGCGCAGTCCGTTGCAACTTCGGACCATTCCCCGCTCAGCTCTTTCTTGCCTAGCTCTTCCAATCCGGTCTCATCAACAACCCGCACTACTGAATGTGGTACGAGATATCTTGTGATTGTTGAAGTGCACATGCTCCCGGCCAAGCTTTGGGGCAAAAGGATAAGCTCGCCAAGGTGCAGAGAACGAGGAGCAAAAAAGAAACTTGAGATATTCAGCTTGCTGGTCGGGACTCCCACCTTTCGGAGTCTACAGAGTGTGAGTCCCCGCGCACGTGGGAGGGATATCATTCTGCGACCACTGGCCCAGGTGAAATATGCAGCCGGCGCGCCCCCGGGCTCGAACCGGGGTACCAAGCTGAGTGCGTACCACGCGTGTAACCACTACACTAAAGTTCCTTGAAAATTCCCGCTTGACACAAATATAAGAGTACATGCAGGGCTGCATCGTGGCTGCAGGCGCCTTATGACAGCCTCATTCCTCCCTCTTCTTTGAGGTTTACCGGCCAAGAGGGATCCCAAGGCTAAAACAGAGCCTAAGACTACCTCTAGCTCACAAGGAACGAGCTGACAAAGCAGCACAAGGCTCAATGTGCTCTCAATCTCTCACCTTT